TGAAAAAAAAAAAAAAAAATAAAAATAAAAGGAGAAGGCAAAAAGGGGAAGTGGAAGGTAGAAAAAAGGAGAAAAGGTTAAGATGAGGACAAAAAAAAAAAAAAAAAAAAAACCTAAAGCTGATTGACTCATCTTGGCCTTTCTAAATGAACCACTCAGTAATAAAACAGAACAGGTTTGGATCCTAAACCATCACAGGAGCCTCTTCCTTTCCACTGTATATCAAATTAAAAAAAAGCTGGTTTGCCATAACATAGACACATGCTTTATGCCCAAAGACTAAAGTATTTATTAAATGCCAAATTCAGAGATAACTAATGATATGAACATTATACTACAAAACAAAATTGAGAGTACAATGGATTTTCATATTCAGACAACTCAACTAAATTCATGCAATTATTTAAATAAGTAATTTAAAGAGATTAATTACAAATAATGGATATGTACAATAATATTGTTTCTATTTTTTTTTTTTTTTTAACAAGGCTGAAAATACAAAAATACATATGGAAAATATGCAAGATTATAAGCAAAATTATTGGTTCATGTCATATTTGATTGATTCATTTTCTACAACTTATAAACACTTTGCAGGTTATTTAAAGCAAGAAAATATTTTAGATTGTAAGAATGGGGGGGGATTATAATGGTTTAATGATACAAGTCTTATTAATTAACCCACAGCTGAGGGAGAAGAGGTTACTCATCTGGTGCTTTTGTAATGGTATTTGTGCTTAAGTGAATATAACAAACCCAGCAGGAATTGGAACTAATACAACACCATACAGTAACCCTCTGCTTTGAATGGCTCTTGGGCCTTGTATTGGGTGAACATTTAAAAAAAAAAAAAAAAAAAATCCAAATCCAGCACTGCTATTGGAGGAACCACTCCTTGATTGACCATGTCTTTAGGGGTGTTGCCATACTCCTCACAATTTTCCAATACTTAATTTTATTATAAATAAAACATTTGTTACTAATTGCATCATCAAAATTTGTGATACAAACACATGATATCTTTATAAATAATAATTATACTGTGTGCCTCAACATGTCACAATGGTTATCAAGATAATCACACAGTTTCTATTTTAGTGAGTTAAATCCCTAGTACATGGCCCAATCTTGTAATCTTGAGCTGTCGACATAATTATTGGTGAGTTATCTTTTAGCCAAGTTAAATTATCATTAACACTTTCACTGCAGTAGATGTACTTATACATCTTTACAAAACTTACATCACTTGTTACTTTATATATATATATATATATATATATATATATATATATATATATATATATATATATATATATATATATATGTTGGTCCCAAGCATCTGTTATAAACTAACTAGTACTTAGTAGACATATAGTAGTATACAATATGACCTGTTTTGGGATATATGTTATTTTTGTTGGCATTGTCATTTAGCTTAGTCTGTATTGCAGAGTATTCTATTGATACCAAAATGGTGGCACTCATGAAAAATCACCATCAGGGCTTTTATAGTCTTATCTCCAATAAATGGCAATTTCTTATTTTCCCCTCCAAATAAGCCAGCACAGCCAGGCAATAATGCTATAACAATGCAGCAGTGAAAGTGTTAACTTTATAACATATATTCTTTTAACTTGGAGCAAACTACAGCATTAGTTGAAAAAGTCTTTTGTTTAAATAAAAAGCACACTATCAGTAAAACAAAATGAAATCAAATATAAACTATGCCCTTTTAGTAAATTGAAATCAATTGCTACAATTCTTATCAATTGATCAAATTCTTTGTATCTATCAAATTTGTACTTGGCCTAATAATTTATAAATTATTGACCTTCATTGTGAATAGCAATGAATAAATTACCAGTAGCTATTGGCACAGTAATATTTAGAACTAGCTTAAAAGCAGCACTCTGTGCATACTTTTAAGCTAGCAACGGGCTAATTGGGCCTTTGGCCCAAAACTAAAGAGACCATTAATCCAGCTTAGAAAACAGCAATGATAATTTTGAAGAAATAACTTTAAATTCCTCAATTCACTCTATAGAATTTCAAAATCTCACTTTTAACTCTGATTTGGGTGATAAGTCCAATTCCAACCAAAACTCAATTTGGGCAAAATTTCCAATTCAGGTCAAAAATTGAGTTCTTCTAATCACAAAATCCATGGAGCTTCAACTGAGTTGAGTTCTTCAAATCACAAATTCTACAGAACTTCAAAACCCCACATCACAAAACTTTGCACTTTGATTTGTTGGCATTTTGAAGAAATAAAATTGATTTCCTCAATTCATAAAGTTTTGGAGACATTTTAAACTGAATTTAAAACAAAATTTTTTAAATTCATAGAGTTTTTGTTACTTTAAACTAAATATAAATTAAAAAATTTAAAAATCACTAACTTTTTTTCAGTTATTTTAAAATTTGAATTTTTAACTGTTCCTTCTCATCCAGACAGAAATCCCAATGCTGGATGTTCAAGCACCAGATGAAGGGCAGATTTTCAATCCTGGGATCATCCAGATTTCAAAAATGTATAATATGTCTATGTAGAGCAAATGTGGCCCGAGTTAGAGGGACTCGGGCACATGGACAGACAGAGAGAATTTACCATTTATTTATTTAGAAATAAAAGATAGATAGATAGGAGAGAGAGAGAGAGAGAAGTTCACACTTCTGGAGTTTATTTGCAAAGATGACTGGCAATGGGACAGATTGTAAAGATATTTATATAAATTGAATCAATGGATGGCAGTTAGGATTTGCTATCATTTCAGATTTTTGTAACATTTTAACATCTGATTATTTTCAACTTAATTTTTTTTATTTATATAGCAGTTTCCTTTTGTCTCCATGATCTAATGTCAACATAATATTGAAATAAATTTGGTCTCTAAAATGAAACTGCTTTCCTTTAATCATCATAGAGAACCATTTTCCCCACCATCAACATGACTGATGCTAACCCCCAGGAGCACAACTCATTGTGCCTTCTTGGTCTCCCATTTTCTACTGACATGAAGTGGAGCAATTGTATTGAATCTCTTGCTAGGTTTGCTACTAAGAAGATTGGGTAATGCCAGTTTTTATTATCCCAGAATTCTCACTTTGGTCAAAAACTGCTAATAAGAGAGAGAACCTTGCCAGTCTTATATTGGGCAAATTCCAATCACTCTTGAATGCAATGTATGTTTTTGGTCTTAATATTTTTCTCCCTTGATCCTCCGCATTGTCCTCATATCTTTGCTTGATCGTTTATTTTATTTTTTTACTCCAAGCAAGATGATAAAGCCACTTAGATGCAAGGGGTTATTGGAGATGGAAGAGAATGAGAAGACTTTAGTGATAGGTCCTATGCTCATCATCAATGATCTTCCTGAGGTCATCAGTTTCCAAGTAGGCATTTATGCAGATGACACTACCATTTACTCTTGTCTCAATAGCAAATCCGTCAAAGCTGACCAAGTTAACCTGGCCACTACTCTTGAAAATTTCCAATCTGTGGTTAACAGGGGCAGGAAATGGCTTTAATGCCCCCAAAAACTAAACTGCTCTCATTTAACCACCATAGAGAAACTTTCCTGCCCACCACCAGCATGGCTGATGCTTGACCCCAAGAGAGCATCTAACTGCACCTTCTTGGCCTCATGTTTTCAATTGACTTGAAGTGGAACAACTACATTGAATCAATAGCTGCATCTACTGCAAGGAAATTGGATTCACTGTGTCATGCCTTGTTTTTCTAGTCAGAGTCCATCTTGCACATTTACAAATCATTCGGCCTTGTATTGAATACTGTTGCCATATCTGGTCTGGTGCCCCTGCTGTTCATCTCAAGATTCTTGACAAAATCCTAAGAAGGATCTGCAATGTAATCAATCCTGACTTGGCATCTCAACTTCAGTTACTTTCTCAGACAGACATAATATGGCTTCTCTGTTTTCTACAAATATTTTCATGGCAACTGCTCTGAGGAACTTTTTTCCCCTGTTGCCCTGACTACATGAATTTAAGTATGCTACTGGATTGGCATCTAGGTCCCACTCTTTTATTATTGAAATAATTAAGTGTAACTGCCACTTCTACTCCAACAGTTTCTTTTCTTGTACTTTCTGACAATGGAACTCACTTCTGCTTACTTGCTTCCCTGATAACTACAGTCTTCAAAAATTTAAATGCAATGTTAACCATCATCTTCTGGTGACTTGAACCCTGTTCATCTTTATTCTTTTCCTCAATCCCCCCCACCAGTCTTTTCTCTCACTTTCACTCTGTAACCCTGCATACACATGGCATTCCTGCTTAAGGTGAAATGATTAAAAAATAAAAAAAATAAAATTAAAATAAATATATATATATATATATATATATATATATATATATATATATATATATACACACACACACTGAATTTCTGGTTCTATCTAAAGTTTATTTCAATTCTATACATCTAACATCTTCATCTAAACTGAAATTTTATTTACTATTTTTTCCTCAATAGAAGTAAATAGGTTCCCCTAGCATCTGGTTTACACATCTCCCCTGTCTTTTGAACAGAGTAGAAATTTATCCATTTTCTTATTTAGGGTTGGGTTTCTGGTTCTTTCTAAAGTCTTATTCTCTTTCACTTCCAGTAACCCCTTGTGTCTTAGTAGTATTATTGCCTTTCTTGACCCCCCCCCGACCCCAACCAAAAAGCTATTTCATTGCATTTTTTCTTGTTATTGTAATAATTGCTTTTACTATTTGTGGAATCAAAAAATTCTGATGGATATTGAAAGGAAGATGAATTTAATATATGAATGCCTGCATCACAGCATACTCCAATATACATTTTCTTTTCTTTTTTTTTTAAAACCAGCTTTGTTCATAAAAGATCTGTTTTAATTAATCTAACAAATCATACATTCTTTTTTTCTTGGGCAATACCAATATCATTTTTTGCAGAAATAAAACAGTATTTTTTTTTATTTTTATTTAATTTTCTTTTTTTTTTTACTTACTTTTAAGGCATATTCTTTTCCTGTGGCAACATCCTGGGCCACAAAGACAAAAGCAAATCCTCCTGTAAAGACAAAGCAACATAAGAATTAAAATTCATGACATACAAGTGACAATGCTAAAAACCAAGATATTTTCTTTTTCAAAAACAATGAATAGTAACCTATTGTACATTCTGTCAGATTTTATTATGCAGTGCTTTCATAATAAAATTGGTTTTAATTGATGGTAAAATTTTCAAGATATATTTATTGTAGAAAAAAAAAAAGTAGCAAATCCGAGGTGTAGCAAAATCAAGTCAGAAATTTGAGTAATGTTTTCCCAACTATCAGCAGCAGCCAACCTCCCACCAACACTGAAAACCATCAGTCTTATATACCTGTAGCCACAGATCAGATGTGATTTATCAATGACTAAACATCACCATTCTCATGCAAATTAGCAAAAACAACTGCAATGCAAATTTAGCAGTGATGCCATCCATGTTGAGAGCCTGCTTTCTCCACACAGCTAATTATTTAAGATAACAAAATTCTTACCTACACCAAGCACACCCAAGTAAAGGTCTTTTTTCATATTGGTCTGGTTCTATTATACATTCAGAAAAATTCAGAAGTTTATAATTGATTTCTTTTCTACAGCTTATAAACACATTGCATGTTATTTAAAGCCAGGAAATATTTTTAGATTGTAAGAAATCTTTTTGGAGATAAGGATTTAGTGATACAAGTCTTACTAATTAACCCATACTTGAGGGGAAAAAGGTAAATTCATACCTTTCCTAAGGGTATTTGTGCATAAATAAATATAACAAAACCAACTGAAATTGGAACCCAGCTCCATGATTAATGATTCTGAGCTGCTATCCATTACATCACCTGCATATCCAAGCTTATAGCACCTGCTATTCCTAAAAGGTAACCCATCTAGGTACTGACCAGGCTTTACATTGCTTAACTTTAGTGATCGTATGGGAACCTGTGTTTCAATGTGATATAGCCGTAAGCCTTCAGAAGTTTGGTCATTTGGATTTGGCCATATTTTAGAAGTGGGTCAGGTTAAGAACTTTTCAGCACTCCCTGATCCCAAATATATCTAATGAATCCCATTTATGCTAATTTTCATAGGTAAGGCTTAGAAACTTAACCAAAAGGTGTAGCAATGCCTCAGTGATTACAAAAGTTGAGAACACAATCTTATTACAAAATTGGTGATTAACTTGATAGATAGAAAAAGAAAAACAATTCTTGGTAGCAACCTTTTCAACATTAGTCAGTCCTTTATTTCTAAAGCTTTCAATATTTCAATTATAGTTACAGAGTTTACACCATACAAACTTTGCACAAAAGATCCTAGTACCAAATGCTCTGGTAACTGCAATTGCAAAAAGTAAATTTTGTTTTTGTCATAGAAGAGCACTCTAGCAACTTTGGTAAGTCAGTAACCCCCCCCCCAAAAAAAAACCCCTCAATCAAGCATCTGCAACAGAAACAAAAATCAAGCTACTGACTATCACCCTATCAACACTTAAACACAACAGCTTAGATATCTGGTATATAACATTATTGTTTAAAAATATTAAACTACAAAAATTATTTAAGCAATACATTTTATTTATAAATTTCAATTTTATATAATTTTCAAGATGAGTAGTTATAAAATGTATTCACAAGCAACAGGTGAAGTTAACCTTTTGAACTCTAGTATACAAATTGACACTGATAGAATAGTAAAAGATAAAACAGAATAAAAATAAAATGATGTATTCTTTAGCAATGACTGAAGGTTCATTAATAGCTGTTTATGTAACCCATGATAACAAGAGTAATATAATTCTGCTTGTTTTTTTGTCCCTTATTTAGTACTAGCAGTAGCGCCCGGGGATGTAACAGTAAGAGATAGATCAAGTATCGACCATCATAAAGACTGAAAAATAAAATTGACAAAGATTATTGTTTAAGGTTGACGAACACGCATGTCTTAATTAGTTTTATTTTTTTGTTTTGTTCTTTTTTTTTTATGAATTGGTCAAACCCAAACTCTAACAAAAACATTGTTTTCAATCGTTATGAGTCTACCGATTGAATAGAATTTTATTATAAACAATTGTCTTGTAAATGGAATTTTTAAAGCATTCTGAATGTAAAAATAAAGAAAAAAGTGTGCAAGACAATAAGAAACACTACCTGCCAAAAAAAAAAAAAAAGTGAAGTTTTGTTGAAATTGGTTGAAAAATGTAGGAAATTCAATCCCATATATAAACGAACACACACAAAAACAACCAACCTAGGTTTTATAATACTCGATATTACTAAGTATAACTCGATATGAGTTGTCCACCTTTCATTAATGCCTCTTAATCGTGTTTTCAAATTGATTTCATGCAAAAACAATCATGTTTTTCCAATTTTTGACGCTGTCAGAACCACCGCAAGGTAATTTTACGTAGTCCTGTGAAGTTTTGTTGAAATCGGTTGAAAATGTAGGAAATCCGATCCAATATATAAATGTACAGACACACACACACAATCTGCATTTTATAATAAGTAAGATTTATTGCTTCAATTTTCTTCTATGTACCATCATGGCTCTCTATAACTTCCTATACTTTATAGCTTTTAGAAAAGCTTGCTTTTTTTTTTTTTAGTATCTCTCAGTCTCTATTCTGCCATCTATTTACACACGCTTGTTAGACAGGTTATTTTCCTCTGTCCCTCTTGTCTTCAATATCTCCTGTGTCAAATTTTCCAAACCTTTCTTTGTGTACTAAAAATTTCAACTCTTTCTGATTCTAAATATAAGTGTCATTTTTGTTTCCATTTTCCTTAAAAATTCCTCATTACTCACATGATCTATCCATGGTATTCTCAACACACTTCTGTAGAACCACATCTGCTGCCCAAGTTTCCTCTTCATCTGTGAGGAAATATTCCAACATTCACTGCTGTATAGGAGGATTGATATTATATAGCAGTTGAGCACTAATGCATTTTCATAAACAATTTTTTTTTATATTCAACTTTCTAATGTACCTGATGTGAACTTGCTATCAATAACTTAAAGACCAATATACCTACCATTGCACTTCAATTAGATACTAAAAGAATGTAGCATTTTCTACTGCTTCTGACTTAACTTGTTTCAAGTATACACAAGCAGGAACCAACTTTCTACAAGTTTTTAAGTGGGCTTTATATACAAAGAGTAAAATGTTATTACCTCAACTTAGAAAAAAAAAACTAGATAAACACTTTGGCCTTGAAGTGAAAGTACAAAGGTTAACTATATTTCTCCACTTGATAGAGCTGCTGAGCAGAAGGAAGTCATAATTTATCAATGGATTAGCTCTACTTCACATGTTCAACCATGTATGAACTTTATGCCTTTAGAAGTTGGGAATACCCACACTTGTTTATTGTCCATTGTACTGAATACCTTGTTCCATTATCACTTAAATCTCAATTTTAATTTTACTTTTGATGCATGCACTCCAGCCATCTTCATTTTGGTAATTATTTTGTGATACTTTCAAGACTAAATTAAGTAAAACAAGTAACTAACTTTGCAGAATAGAGGACCATTTTATCTCCCTTGGAGCTAGTTTTAAAACTGGAATTTTACATGCTTTCAAACATTTTCTTCTTTTCATTAAAATTTTTTTTTTTTTATTGGCTGGTTGATTTTGTTTAGTGGCATAAACCCCTATGGATTATTTAATGCTGAAATTTTAAAATTTTGAACATAATTTTATGGCTTCAACTAAATATATTTTGAATGCAATTGTATTCCATCAACTACAGATTAAGTGTATTCTAAGCAATTTTTTTTTTATATAAAAATGTATTACTGGTATTTTTACTATAAAAATGTATCTTTATTTTTTCATAGCTTTTTTTTTGGGGGGGGTCACTATTTGTCTATAGCTGGGACTGTAACAGAATATTTTGGAATGCTGTTTGATTTAAGAAATTCTAGGATATTATATGGACTAATATCATGAAAGAGCTTTCATGTTGGTTGTTTTTGTTTCGCAGTATACCAGACTACGGATTATTTAATGCTGAAATCTAAATATTTTATATGTAATTTTATGCTTTCAACTACAGGTATTTTGTACATAATAAGGGTAAGTTTGTTTTTTTTTTTTTAAGATATATAGTCTGTAGATGATAAAATGTATTATTGGCAATTTTACTATAAAAATGTATTTTTACATTTTTTAAGGTGTTGAATTGATTGCCATTTTGTTATAAAAATGTAATGTTGGTCATTTTATAAACATTTACTGCTAATTTTTGTTTGGGAGTTCACTAATTGCCCCATAACTTTGACCCTAACAGGTGCTACCAGCACAGGTAAGGGTGAACCTGGGAACAACAGCAATTAAGTAGTAGTTTCATGCTCCCCAAAATCTCCAATCTCCCAATCAGAGGCATTGCTGCCGGATGTAGTTTCTTGTCATACCCAGGACAAAGATTTTTTTTTTTTTTTTTTGTACAAGGAGTTAACATATATGAAATCAAAAGCTAGAGCAGAAGACTGATGGCCTGGAGATGTTAAGTAACATCCAATTCCAAGGTGTCAAGTAAGTAAAAGTCACAAATTTATATTACCATGTGTAATAAGATATAAAGCCCTGTTATGGAATATAGACATGATCAGATATTCCACAGAAGTACTGGATTAGCAATGTTCATTATCACATGCTATTCAAAAAGAAAAATGATTCAAATGAGAACTTACAGTGCTTTTTCTATAGTTATTGTTTAATTTGCAAAAGATTTGACACATATATAATATAAATAATGATGAAACTTTCCATTTTTATAGTTTAATCAAAATCCAACTTTGGTGTTCCAAGTAACTGGTAATTGAACCAATGATTACAGATTCCATAAAAATACAAGTTAAAATTGTAAAATTTCAAAGTGAAAAATAAAATTATAGTTGTAAGTAATGATGCTCAGACAATTATTTGAATTCATACTAGTATAATTATTCAACCATGATATATAATAGGAAGAGTAAGTCACAATCTCTGTAAGGTCACAAAATCCAAAAATTACACCCAGCTAACTTGCTGCTACAAACTAACCAAAAATCAAAACTTTCCTGTTGATAAACACAGGAAAAGAAATCTTACAAGATGTCGAAACTTACTATTGACTGGGAATTAAACACATTTGAATGCTCTTACCAACTATGATACTGACTATGTCTGAATAGGTAGTATTTTCTTTTCTTTCTATAATAGCACCATGAGATGCGGGCCATTTGAACCAATGAAGTCAGTCACCATTTTCTTCTTAACATGATACCATAATGAGAATTTTAACAGAAGTAGATTTAAAAACTTTTAATAATTAAAAAAACAAAAGCAAAGTCAGTATTAAAAAGATATTATTATTCATAAAATACATCAAAAGATATGTTAAAAAACATTCTTACATTATTTTTTGTTTTAGCACAAATAAATTCTCAAATTTGAATTTTTTCACTTAAATTTTTTCCATCTCTTTTGAAATAAAAAATGTGCAATTTTAGGTGTTACAATACTCAAAATATTTAAAGCATACTAACTGAAAATCACTACAAAAAACAAGGTAATTGTTAACATATGATATGCATGATTGATTTGAAAATTGAACTTTTATAACAATTGCAGAAGAGATAATCAGAGAAGATAGCCACCATTTATATTTATATAAGGTAAAAAAATCCATTGGTATATAATCCAAGTGGATCCTAGTAATATAAAAAATATAACAAACCTGGTATCAAACCCTCCTGTATTTTAGATCAAAAGATAATTGTCCAGTAGAGGGTAAATGCAAATCTACCAGGGTTTTATATCAAGTGACAATTTCTCCCAAAGAAAATATAGAAAATAAAAAAGTTTACATTGGAATTTCCACGGGGGTGTGGATACAAAAATTTTATACCCATAAGCACTCATTCTCTAACCTTAAACTTAAACAGCTCGTTCAAAAAATTTTTAGGAATTG